CCCGGTGCTGGATCAGCTGTGTCTACAGCCGGTGGCGCTGGCCCCGCCGCTTCCTGGAAGGTGGAATTTGTGCTGTTTTTAACCTAGAAAGTATTCTTAAGTCGCAGTCCTTACGAAGCACCCGCCATCTGGGCCGCCGTCCCCATCCCGGCTGCGGGCGGGTCACATTTAGCACTTTCATCTGCTTATTGGCGCACTCCATCCGTCATCTGTTGTGGGCATTCCTGAGGTGTGACCTTTTGGTGAGGTTTGGGCTGTGGCTGGCTGCCTCTCCATATGCTCCTCAGGCGTCACTCCCAGTGTGACCTTTGCATTCCTGTGTGACCCTGATATCCCTTATCTCAGACTTGGTTTCCTACGTCCTTGCTTCTGGTTCTCTACTTTGATCCAACTTGCAATCATCCCAGCTCCAAGCTTGCCTGTCTCTGTCCAGGCTCCTAGCTAACCTTTCCTGCAAGAGACCTTCAAAGAGCAGCTAGTTCTGCTCGCTTTGGGTCAAACGCTGGCATTAACCTCGCTGTTTTCCAGAGGTCACGGGATGCTGCTGAGTGACAGCATCAAAACTGGATATGAAACTGGAGATGATGATGATGCTACTTCTGTCCTAAAGCTTTTTCCCTGCCATATGCATGCCTGTGCTCTGGCACTGGATTCAGTTGGCTCTCTAAAATATCATGGAATGTTTGAGTGGGAAAGGATCTTAAAGATCATCCAGTTCCACCCCCGCCAATAAGCAGGGACACCTTACACTACCCCAGGTTGTTCCAAACCCCATCCACTCTGGCCTTGGACACTTCCAGGGATCCAGGGCAATCTGTACCAGGGTCTCACCACCCTCACAGGAAATAATTTCCTCCCAGTATCCCATCTAACCCTGCTCTCTGGCAGTGGGAAGGTGTTCCCCCTTGTTCTGTCATTCCAGACTCTTGTCCCTCCTCAGCTCTCTTGGAGCCCCTTTAGAGACTGTGTGGGTCTCTAAGGACTCCCTGGAGCCTTCTTTATTCTAGGCTGAACATCCCTGACTTACTTAGCCTTTCAGAAAAATAACAGTGTGTGTTTTGCTGTGTAGATCTGATGAGGCTGAACTGGGAGAATCCCCAGTGCTGTGGCACTTGTAGTCCTGCACCTGCTGGCCTTTCTTGCCAGGTGTTATTGTGGGCAAGGTGGAAATGACAAGTGGTTCCCTTCATCCTATGGGTAAATCTGTCAAACACTTTGTCTGAATTCAGGTGACTCTGGGTCTTCCTCAGGCTCTTTGAACCAAAACCTTATAGTTTGCAATGGGGAGTCTAGCCCCTGCCATGCTGGGCAGTCAGAGCTACAGAATCACTGAATATGCTCAGTTGGAAGGGACCCACAAGGATCACCAAGTCCAACTCCTGGCCCTGCACAGTACCATCCCAAGAGCCACACTCTGTACCTGAGAGCACAGCCTAAATGCTTCTTGAATTCTCAGGCTTTGACCATTCCCCTTGGGGGGGCTGTTCCAGTGTCCAAACATCCTCTGAGTGAAGAGCCTTTTTCCAATATCTGACCTAAACCTCCCCTGATGCAGCCCTCGGGTCCTGTTGTTGGTCACTACAGGGGAGAGATCAGTGTCTGAACTAGATTTAGCTGGAAGGCTGGCTAGCAAACTGATAGCTGTGATGGTGTGTTGTTTTCTCTAGTCCCTTGTGAAATTTCATTTTAATCTGGTGAACCGTGGTAACTGCTTTGCCATTGGGCTGCTGCTCGTTGGACTGGTCTGTGCTATGGAAACCAGCCAGCTAGGTCACCTCTAGCCTTGGGTCCTGCCTCTTGCAGGAGGAGCTGGGTGGAAAGGGCAGCTCCAAGAAGAGTTGCTCCAAGTGCCTGCACTTCCTTCAGGATGATTTCCAGTGCTTTCCTTGGGCTACTGTGGTTGTTAGGATGTGTGTAAAACCCCCTGGCTGACCCCAGGCCTCCCAGTACATGCCTTGTGGAAAGCTGCAAGGTGGGACCTCTCCAAGGTCCCACACCAGCTCCAGGTTACTTTTCTGGGTTCTCTGAGCAGAGGAGAGCCCCTCTCTGGGTCTTTCACCTGCACTGATGTTCTTGGGTCTGGGCTTTTGAGGAGCAGCAGTCTTTCTTGGAGCCCAGTTCTCAAGTGCTTTGCACTACTCTACCCCTACCTTGCAGGCAATTTTCCCTGTAGACAGTTTCTTACCAGCTTTACCCTGGTGCACATCACAGCAAACTAAGAAGAAAACCTCAGCCAAGCAGAGTGGTCATAGAAAGGAAGCCTAGACCAACCTGGGAAGGAGAGTGATGGAAGAAGCTGAAATCAAGAGATGTGGGTGGCTTTGCTGTGCAGTGGCTCATTCGAGGCCCGTGTTGGGTACCCACCAAGCAGATTTGCATTGCACTGTTGTGACAGGGGAGGTGATGGTACCATGCTGCCAGGGATAGGAGAGGCAGACCTGGCCGTGCTGAGTGTACTGAGCAAAAACTGCATTTCCAAGCCATCAGAGACCTCGCTGTGGGACAGGGTGGATGGATTAATGCAAATTAAAAACTGATCCTAAGCTTGATTCTCCGTGCTTGGGTAGGGGGTGGTCTCTGTTCAGTGCTCTCCTGCAGTAATTAATAACCCACTTTTCTGTTCTCCCTCGACAGGAGCTTGCGTGAGGCAACAATACAAAAATGCTTAACTTAAGGACTTGTGCAGCAAAACTGAGGCCATTGACAGCCTCACAGACTGTAAAGACAATTTCCCAACACAGACCGGCAGCGCCCAGGACGTTCCAACAGCTCAGGTGCTACAGTGCACCTGTGGCTGCCGAGCCATTTCTGAGTGGGACTAGTTCAAACTATGTGGAGGAAATGTATTATGCTTGGCTGGAAAATCCCAAAAGTGTACATAAGGTAAGGATCAACCTTGCCAGGACGTCACCTTCACTTCTCTGTGTGTCTGAACAGTGGGTGCAGGTAAGTGCCACCTCTTGAGGAGTAGTGAATTCGTCAGTACGGGCTGGATGTTTGTGGATGGTCCTTCTGCCTCACTTTGCCCAAAAGAAACAGCAGTGATTCCTGGAACAAGAAGCAAGAGGAGCTTTTTCTGTTCAAGAGGAAACGCCGTGGGCTTGGGACATGGGCATCATCCTGGATCACAAGCAGATACAAGGAATGGCTTCTGGGAATCCACTTGCTGTATTTTTTCCATCTCTGGTGGCTCATCAAGAGGATTGATTCTGGAGTGGAGGATGGGAAAAAGGGGCATGGAGGGTATTCTCCACATCGTGACTTGTTTCCTTTTTGTCTCAGGCATGGGTGGTATTCTGTGTTGGGGCAGACATAGCTAAGCTTGGCTTTGAGCTTGTGTGTGTAAAACCAGATTGCTGATCGATATACTTGGCCCCATTCTGGCCTTGTCTCTTGTGTGGACTCCACCTTGTTCCAGTGACCTGTTTACCAAGATTCCTTCCCAGCTCCTCTCTGCACTCCTCTGTCCTCTCTGCACTTCTTCATGGGTCCCCTGATGCTGAGCTGCTGTGCTCAGGCTGGGCTTGCAGCTGTCTCTCATCATGTTGGCTTGCAGGCCATCAGCCTGTGTGCCCTGCCCAGGGGAGGAAAGTCCTAATTCTGTCCTTGATGAGCATTGGCCTCTGTCCTGCCAGGTGGAGAGTCAGATCCTAGGCTGGAGCACTTGGAAGGAGTCAGGCTGTCATGGGGCCTGGCTGAGGTTTTTCTATCCCTGTGTAGCACAGAGACCAGCTGCTCCTTGCTGTGCTGTGTCCCACCAGGAAGGAGGGACATGTTCAGCTGGGAAGAGCTGGAGTGTCTTTGCTGTTGTCACCAAAAACCTCTGAGGCTTCCTGCTGGTGCAATTGTCCCAGCTGAGCACACTGAATTCATTTCCTCCATGTACATACCAGGGGTTTAAAGTGCAGAACAAGCTTTAGTTCTTGCTTAAAATAGGGAAGATAAAAAGTAGGTTATTTTAGGGCATTTTCTGCATGGAATCCTTTAGCTGAGCTCCAGTTTTCAAGCCCGATGAGCAGAGTTGGATAGTAATAACGGTAAAATAATAAAAATTAGAGAAGAGTGAGAGAAAGAGGAGGTGAAGACATGGTGGATGGGTGCCAGTGGGCTGCCACAGGGTCAGTCAGTGCTGCTTGCTCCTGGGACTGCTTCCCCTTAAAAGTGGGGACACCATCCTCCTGCCTCTATTTGACCAGCTTGGGTGCTTGGTACAGCCCACACTGT